GATATCAATATGTAATACAATAAGCATTGTTAATTCCCTACCACTCTGTTTGTAACTCTGTAATGTCTGTACGGATCCTACGCTATTTTGTAAAATGTTGTCGGTCTGTTAGTATTTTCCTCCTTTTATGTCATATCTTTAGAAAAGTATGTGGACTGCATGCCGAAACTCATAGAAAGAGGCAAAGAAGGACACTACATATTGGTTAATGGAACAATCCAACAGAAAGAAATACCTACTTTTCTCATATAGCCAATGAATAACAGCACACTCAAGTTTATAAAACAAATACTACTAGACCAAAAAGACCAGAGAAACAGAAGACAATTATACTGGGGGACCTCAATACTCTATTATCACAAATAGACAGATCAAATAAAAAATAAGAAAAATAATCTGTATATCTGCAAAGTGTTCTACCCCACAACAGAAGAAACATCCTTTCAGCAGCACACGGAACTTTCTTCAAAGTAGGTCAACACACTATCCAATAAAGTAGGCTTAAGTAAATGTAAAAGAATTGAAGTTATGTCATGCATATTATCAGGTGATATCACAGTGATGATAGAAATCAATGAATAAAGCAAACACAGAAATAATGCAAATACATGGAAATAAAACAATACACTCTTAAATAAAAAATGGGTCACAGAAGATATCAAACAACACATGGAACACCTTCTACAACTAAGTGATAATTCCAGTAGAGCATACCAGAGTTCAAGGGACACAATGAAAGCAGCCACAAGAGGGAAGTTTAGAGCTGTGAATTACCACATCACAAAAACAGAGGGAGCCCAAATAAGTAGCTTAATGATGCATTTCAAGGTCCTAGAATAATAACAACAATCTAAACACAAGCTAGTAAAAGAAAGAAGGAATGATCCAAAAACTATTTCTGAAAGTTACAATTATGCACACAAGGATGTATCTAAAAAAGAGATCTCCAGACAAATTTCTTTAATGATAATGAATGTCAAAATTCCCAACAAGACACTGGCAAAATGAATGCAAAGAACAACAAAACAGATCATGACCAATTAGCCTTCACCCCAGGAATTCAAGAACGAAACGTTTAACATACACAAATCTATAAGTTTAATACATCATACAAAGAGAAGCAAGGGCAAAAAAATCACATGGTCATTTTCAAAGATGCAGAAAAAGCCTTTGACTAAAATAAAACATACTTATGTGATAAAGAAAAGCACTGAAGAAAACAGGTATAGAAGGAACTTATATCAATCTGATCAAAAGAATTTGAGAAATGTCTTGCCAACATTATATTAAATGGGGAAAACCTGAAAGCTTTGCTTCTAATGTCAGGAACAAGAGAATGATGTCTCCCATCACAGCTGCTGCTAAACATAGCACTCACAAATTAGCAAGAGAAATTAGGCAAGTAAAAGTAAAAAGGATGTGTATAGGATAGCAAAAAATCAAATTGCCATTATTTGCTGATGATGTGATCCTGTATATGAAAGACCCAAAAACTCCACCAAAAGACTTTTTGAATTAATAAACAAACCTAGTAACACAGCAGGATACAAACTCAACACACAAAAGTCAATATCACTAATAAAGAAACCACTGAGAAAGACATTGGGGAAAAATGCCATTCACAATAGCACCAAGAAAAATTAAATACACGGGAGTACCTAACTAAGAAAATGAAGGACGTCTATAACAAAAAGTACACTAGAATTAAGAAGGAACTCAAAGAGGACATGAGTATTGGAAACACTTACTGTTAATGAGATTTCAATAACTATCTCACTAATAAAAAGTGTTTATTATAATGTGAAAAAGATATGTTATTAACATATACCAATATCCCAGAGGAATTTAAAAAAAGAAAGAAATCTAAAGATGGCAGAAAATTAGAGCAAGTAATATATCGGGGAAACAAATTATGAACAGATATCAGTCCCCACAAATTCAAAGACCCAATCCAAAAATGGGCAGCTGAGATGAATACACACTTCTCAGACAAGGAGATACAAATGGCAAATAAATAGATTAGAAAATGTTCAACATTATTAGTCATTCGAGAAATGCAAATTCAAACAACACTGAGATTCCACCTTTCCGCAGTAAGAATGGCTAGCATTAAGAAATCAACCAATAACAAATGCTGGCACAGTTGTGGAGAGATAGACACCCTTCTCCACTGCTGGTGGGAATGCAGACTGGTGAAACCACTGTGGAAATCAGTCTGGAGATTCCTCAGAAAACTAGGTCTAGAGGTCCCATTCAACCCTGTTATCCCCCTGCTGGGTATTTTCCCAGAAGATCTAAAAACATCATATCACAGTGATGTATGTGCACGTATGTTCATAGCAGCACAATTTGTAATTGCTAAGACGTGGAAGCAACTCAAATGTCCATCCACTGAGGATTGGATAAGAAAACTGTAGTACTTTTATATAATGGAATATTACTCAGCTGTAGAGAAAGATAAACTCGAGGCTTTTCTATGTAAATGATGACAACTAGAGACCATACTCATAAGTGAAATAAATCAAACATACATGTGCAAGCACCGCATTGTTTCACTAGTGTAAAACCTGAAAGAGTTAATTTAAACTAGGAGATAGGATAGACATAGTGAATTGATAGGAAAGCACTCAAAGGTAAAGGGCAACTGGGATGTGGGAAAAGAAAAGGGAAAGAAGGAGAAAGTTTGTATGTATGTATATGCAAGATAGTCAACATGGCTGTTCTACTGTCTTGTATTTCTTTGCTGAAAGAAACTGTCAATGAGTCCTTGGTTGATCAGCATTGCATGTCTATATCTGTTTTCATGAGAAACCACTTTGAAGATATCAATATGTAATACAACAAGTATTATTAATTTCCTACCACTTTATGTGTAACTCTGTATTGTGTGTACTGTTCTTTTGCTATTTTATAAAATGTTGTGTGTCTGTTAAGGATTTCCTCCTTGTATTTTTAAAATAAAAAAATCAAATTCTGAACAGAATACATAATGAAATCTTGAAATTCAAGGCCAAAAGCAGAAATAATTTACCTAGCAAGAATTTAACAGACATTTATCCAAAGGAAACATTATCTTCACCAACACTGCACGCTATTTACAATATCAGGAAAACTTAAATGAAAACCTCACTGGTACACCACTTCACACACACTACCATGACTGCAATGAATTCATGGGAATCTCAAGTGTTGGATGTGAACTTATGCATTCCTGGTTGAAAAACAAAGTGCTACAGCAATTATGGAAAACATTTCATGAGTTTATTAACACATAGAATTGTCCTATAACTCAGCAATGCCATTCCTGATAATGTACCCAGAAACATTGAACCCAGGTGTTCAAACAGGACCTTGCCAGAAATTCTCCATAACAGCATTACTCACCATAGTTAAAATGAGAAAATATCTCTAACATACATCAACTGGCTATTGGATAAACAAAGTCTACTATGTCTGTACAATGGAACATTATTTGTCCAAAAAAGAAATATTGGTTCATATTTCATTGAAAATATATCACCAAATGAAAGAATCCAATCTGAAAAAAGCACATTTTATGATTCTATGCCTATAAAGTGTCCAGAAATAATAAATTTACAGAAATAATATAATTCAGTGCTTGCTTATGGCCAGGGGACTGGGAGCAAGGAATGACAAGGTAGAAAGTTTCTGAGTTGACAAAAATACTCTCATTTGGATAGTGGTGAATAGTAAGAACATTATCTTGTGTATCTTAAGCAGGTTACTTATATGTAATGTGAAGTATGCCTAAGTAAATCTGTTCTTTTCAAAAGAAAGATGAAGAAATAGATAATCTACTTACGCCCTATGAAAATCAATGGATTGAAAAAATCAAAATTTAAGAGCTTCTTTATTTTCTCCACAAAGGGATCTCGTGGGTTGTTGAGGGAATCAACATTTACTCCAAATGACGTGCCAGTGATCACATCCATGCTGTAGGCTCCAAAGATGCTGAGTAGAGAAACAAATAGAAAGTAACTATATGTGCAGTTTTGCCCTCCTTCTGCCTTATGAGCTGAAGGAAGTAGGAATAAATCCACACATAGCAAGAGAATCAGAGAGCCACACAGTGTCAGAACTATCTGCTGTGTCATGTGATTACTCTATGCAACCTCCACACTCATTCATGGGCATTTATCAGGTGCTAGTGTGCCCTTGTGCTAGGGTGAGTTAGACCCACATTAAGGTGAGTTAGACCCACACCTGCATACAAGCAGCTCATCCACAGGGGGAAAGAAACCAACAATCACATAAATATCAGCAATGTGAATGGAACGTAAAGGAGAATAGATGTGTGAGCACCATGTTTCAGCAGGACAAGGGGAAAATAACAACTCTTCCTAAGGGAATCAGAAAAGATGACTTGGATCTAGATCTCTCTTCGACATACAATCTGTGTCCTGAGTGGATTCCTCTTGAGCACATCACACAACAGCACACCATGTTCTGAGTTTCCAGTCATATTTTTCCTCCTGAAAACATCCTTGTCCAGTTCCTGACACTCTTGCACCTTGCAAACTCCAAGGATCTGATGTTTACCAAAGGGAAGAACGTTCTGGTAATATGTGAAGCACAACAACAATCTTGGTTTAAAAAGATGTGACATTTTTATATACTGGAATATTACTCAGCTATAAACAAAGATAAAGTTGAGGTTTTCATAGGTAAAGGGATGCATCTAGAGACCATACTCATAAGCACAAAAAATTAGATCCATATTTGTAAACATCATATTGTCTCCCTAGTGTCAGAACCTGAAAAAGTAAATAGAATCTAAAAGGTACAATAGATATTGTGAAAGGGAAAGAAACTGCTCAAGAGGAAAGCACAACTGGGATGAAGGAAAAGGGAAAAGAAAGAAGGGGAAAACATGAACACACACACACACACACACACACACACACACTAGATAGCTAAGATAATTGTACTACTAATTTTTATTATGTTATTGAAAGGAACAGTTAATGTTTAATTGTGTGATCAATCTTACGGCCTATATATTTTTGTCTGGTTAACCAATTTGAAGATACCGGTATGTAATACAACAACCATTGCTAATTTCCTTTCACCTTGTCTGAAATTCAGTATTGCTTGTATTGTTTTTGTGTTATTTTGTAAATGTATGTGTGTTTGTTATTATTACCAGCTTTAAGTTGTTCCTGGTTTCACAGTGTCATTTTCCTGCCCCAAACACTGCTTTTCTCTCTGTACCAAGTATTTTCTACTCTAACTTTCCCCTGCCTTTACACTCAAACCTTTGTTAGGATTGCATTTCTTCTTCCTAAGGTGTGTATTTTGCTTTCTAGAATACACAAGGTGACAAAAAACCAGCTGAAATAAACATGGCTCCTTCACGTTGTGAAGTCCTTTTGAAGGCACCATGTCTTCTACTGGAAGTTGCCCACTATTAGAAGGCCAATTAGATTCCTATCATCACATAAATGCATTTCTATGGTTCCTAGAGTAGTATACTAGTAGAGATAGCTCTCCGGCAGGCACCTGGAGGCACCATACAGAACTCAGAAGCTCTCTGGCAGGCACCTGGCAGGCACCATACAGAACTCAAAAGTCCAGCAGGAGCCCTGAAACTTACTCTTTCATGGGTACTGGCACACCTTTCTCTGCTTCTCGCTTCAGGTTTTTCAATAACACATCTGCATACTGTTCAATAATGGGGAACATCTGAGCAATAGAAACAACACCAGCTGCAGTTAAATGAACACACACAAAGCCCAAAACACAAAACATTCCCAGTCTTGAACCTGTATGTAGCACTTTATAAGAAATTCTGTAATGTCTCCAAGGACATAAAGAGAAAAGGCCATTCTAACTAGCTCATCTGTATGGGACTGCCCTGTGGAAAGAGACAAGGATCTTTCTGCTTTTCTACAGACTCATTCTTTAATTTCCAATTAAAAACTCTCATATATGCTTACTTCCTTCAGTTTCCCACTGGAGAAAGTGGGAGACAGCAATGTCCGTATTCTCTTCCATTGTTCATCCTCAGATGAAGTCAGTGATTTTCTCATCAAGACCGCTGGACGAATTGACTAGGGTCCAAAGTGAAAGGTATTTTATTGTAAGGAAGTTCAGAAATTTTTCACCTTTGTAGAGAATTTATTGAACATCAACCACCTGTTTAACAAATATTTAGTGGTTGCCTACCAAGTGGTATGTCCCATGCCAGATGCTCAACAAATATGTATATGTAAGTACCTTGGCTCCTCTCAGTGTGTTTGGAATTTTTTCTCTAATCACTACTGTGTTAACATGAAAAGACAAGCTCACCTTCTGTGTATAAAAAACTCGCAAGAAGGAATCCTTTGGTGAAGGAACCATGCTGAAGGGTGACTGTGGTCAAGGTTACATAAATATACAACTGTGATGAATTTGGATGGAGATACACACAGCAATGCACAAGCCATGTACACACACACACACACACACACACACACACACACACACACTCATGAAGTGATGCCACTACTAAACTGAGGAAATGTCAATACACTGTACGATTTCAGCTGTGTCAAACTCTTTTAACCATATTGACAGGAAAATATTTCAACGGGGTATGTGAAAGCCTCTACCAGGAGGAAATACAGCACAAAGTGTCCATGGAGTTTTCAAAATTTAGTATGAAAATGTAATTAGTTCAGTTTTAAAGTTCAACAGATGAGAGAGGTTTGCATTTCCAAAACATGAATGCCTACCTTGCGGTTGGTGAAAGCTGAGTAAAATTCTTTGACAAGCACTGTTTTGATCATGTCTGGATCCGTGATAAATAAGACTGGTTGTCGACCTTCATATAATCTGTATTGGGAAAACAGAGCTGATTCAACCTAACACACCAGATTGTACAGATGGCCCCCTACCAGGGAATCCCAAGACTTTGATCCTGATCCTAGGATGTACATGCCCGGTGAACCGCACACACCAATAGCTCCTGGTTTAATTTAGGATTTCTGAACACAGAGACCACTCATCTCTTCACAGAGTGAAGGATATTGAGCTCAAATAATGAACAGACATTAAAGGCAAAGTTATTCTCAAAAGATCGTAATTAGAAATGTTTGGAATTATTGTGAAGTCCACATGGATTATACATGGTTATTGCCAATATAAGCTTTTTCTATTTCAAATATTTCACTGTGAAGGCTCTCTGTGTAAGTCATTGGTTACTTATTATTTACAACGCTCACATTTCAATCTCCAGTTTTGAGAATATAAAAATTAAATTTAAATTACATTATTTTAATATTCTAAGTAATATCATGTCAGTACAATTCTGTATCATTTTCATGGTTTTTTCCTCTTTTTAAAATGAAAAAAAAAAAAAAAACCCCAAACTATCAAGTCCTCATAAGTAGTAAAAGTTTCATGGCCAGTGGGGGTTTTGTCAGTGGAGGTTGCATTTTATTACTATTGTGTCACAAGTATATTATGGGCTGTGTGACTTGAGTAGAACCCTGTGGCTAGTTCTGGGGAGTCTGAGGATGGATAAGTGAAGAAGAGACAAGAAGATGCACAGCTTTTATGAATGTGTTTATAGGAGAAAGTACATGATATAACTTCTTTCATAACTCTCTAAACCTCCCGCATTTCCTAAGAGAAGAGTGGTTGCAAATGAATCATGCCTCCTTCCAAAATCACTATGGACGCAAGCCCACAGGAGAACACAGGGATTCAGCCACATCCTACATCTCGACCTCACAGCCAGAAGAATGAGGTAGAGAAGGAAATACTTGTATACTCACCTAGGAGCCCCTTAAAAGTAATAAATGATAGTGTTCTCCACCTAATGAGACTGTGGCCCTTAAGACATGGTGACCTTTGGGATCCTTGGCAGGATAAGATTTCAAAAGTCTCACAATACACAGCTGCTTTCTAAGAGCTTGTAGCTGATATAGTCCTCATGCCAGGGCTAACCCTCCTCACAAGTCTACCCACTGGAAGTTTCCTGAATACTCACCCCCAAATTTTCCCATACTTTTTATAGCACTCCGCATCAAACTTCCATGTGCCCTGGGAAGAAAAACAAACTTTGAATTCATTGCTGTTCAGAATGAACAGGCCACATGTGTAGCTGTGGAATGAATGCATGGGAACCCATTAATTCAGACTATCCCTCACAGGTAGGTAGAGGAAAAGGAGATTAGAGACATCTGAATGGAAGATAAAAGAGAGGAGATATATGAAATGGAGACTTTAGAGTAACTACTGGTTTCTGTCATGTATAGTACATTTCAAAGGAACTATCCTTGTATATAAAATTTAAGAAATTCCCTGAGGAGCTTTTCTTGTGCATGTGTTTTCTCTAAAATTATGGAGCTTCCAGCATTTTTGGTGCATGCTGTAATTCCAGCTTTCAGGAAGATGAGGTAGGAGGATTGCCTAAGTTCCAGGTCATTGTGAACTGCATAGTGAGAGCTTATCTTAAAAAACCCAAGGATTAAAAAATTAGTGAAATTATGTAGCTGTGAATCATCCCCTCCATGGGTACATAGACCAAGTGAATGAGTTTCCCTTGCATGTGCCGTCTTTTCTCTCTCCATTTTCCAGTTTTTATGTCTCATGAGCCTTCTCTAGAATGCTGGTGGAATTAGGAAGCAGTGCACTGGTCTCTTCTATTCTAGCAGTGGCCTCTTTTCATCTGTTAGATCTACATAAGCCTCAAAACATTGTTGGTTGAGAAAATGACTCAGTGCTCCAGCTTATCATAGAAAGATGGGGCACATCTACATATAGAAATGACAATTTAAATACTTGCTCTAAGTTTGCACTTCTGTGATGTAAAACTAAATCTTCCTGCTAGTAAGATGCACCTGAGAATTTTAAATATGTAAAAGTACATATGGGAAATGTTGACTTGGGGATGCATCCATTAAATAATCGATGTATCAATAATGAGGCTGAAGATTGCACTTTCAGGTGGTAATGCAGTAGGAAATTCTGAGTCAGTAACTACACAAAGACCTTAGTTATGAAAATATAATCTGAGTGATAAACCCAGAGCCTTTGGGAAAGGAAATGTGGGCCAAGAGCAGCCTGCACTCAGTGTCTGCTTCGGGCCTTTTGCATTTATGCCGGGGAACATCTGTGAAGTGCCAGGGAAAGGGCCAAGTTCAGAGCAGCTTTGTAACAAAGTCCCCTTCTCAGTTATGCCCATTCCTTCTTCAGACTCACACATACAGTGCTGTCTTTGACGGGAAAGAAATAAAGTAAAAGGATCTCACTCTACACTTGAATTCCCTGGAAGATGTTATGAGTAGGAAAAGCAGGGTTAAAGTCTAGGATTTAACCTAAGGACATTGAAAAGTTTCAGACAAAATTCAAACACTTGAAAATTTTCCAGTGTAGAGTACTTCGACCAGGTAAAATGTTGAAAATCCAGAGCTAGTCAGTAAAAAGAAAATGAAATACTACACATGAATTCTGGTATGCATGTGAAAATTTGAATCTATGGTGCACATGTTGATAAGCTAATAGCAGGCAATCCTCACAAGCATTTCTCCGAATGCTGATAATTTACAGCTGAGCTTTCAAGAAATATTCACGGGGCAAAAAGAAATGTCCACCTTCAACCTCACAGCATCTGAGTTCCATATCCTGAGCTTCCGTCGCTGACCTGTCAGAATTTTGCCTGGTCCTGAGGCAAACCTCAGACTCCACAGATGTGAATAGAGAGCCTCAGGGAAAACCTACGTGTGTCTGCAATGGAATCCACACAGTTTCTGTGGAAGCCAGAAACTTCAGAATTTTCCTTCAAGGACCACTGTTATGATAGCCTTAGGCTAGTGTTTGGAAGCAGAAGAAGAAAAAGAAATTGCACAAATGCAACTCATTGTGGGAGACCTGTGACTGACCTCCACTGTATATTAGTAGCCATCGTAAGCATTAAGTTTCGGTTTTCTGAGATAAGTCTCTGCTATCCTGCCAGCTTCCCTGAAGCAGCGTGCCTTTTCCCTTAAGGTTAGGACTGCCCACCGTTGCCTAGCTACTCTCGCCTTTGTCCGGTTGTTTGGTTACTCCCGCCTTAAGAACTTCTGCATTTCCCCGCGCCCTATATATACACAGTACTTCCTGCCAATAAACGAGACTTGATCAGAATCCTGTCTTGTCTCCATTCTTCGTGTCTCTTGTCCCTTTCTCATCCACACTCCCCCTCTAGGGTCCTCGTTAACTGTACCCACGGGCCCGGTCAACTCACCTTAAGATAGGACAGAAGATTCCCAAGAAAAGGCAGAGGTTTGGGACCAGGAATACCCAACCTCTTAAAATGTCCGTGTGTGTATGTCCCATAGCTAAAAAATGAAAAAGAAATTAACATCTTCGTTTCAGACTTTGCATACATAGAGGTACACTTGTCATTGACTTAGGAACTTTAATAGTAAAGCAATAAAGATACCATGTATATGATAAATAACAGGAAACTTGCCAGAAAAAATTGTACATTCACTCACTATCTCCTCTGCCACCTCCACACACAACTTGCAGAACTGAAAAAACTTAGCAAAACCAGCTGTTTCTGTACTCTCAACCCCAGAGTCAATACTTGAAACACACACTCAAATTTGAGTGCACCCACAGGATTCAGGCTGGAATTTTTACACGTATTTCTTTTGCTGATATCAAGTTAGGAAAATCATATTTCCATGAGGAAGGAATGTACATACATTCTAGGGAAAAACAGTGAATGTTTTTCTCTTTCAGTACTAAAATTTCATGTAAATCTATCTAATGAGGGACACGTGGTGATGGAGATTCTGTAATAATAGTATTTACAGTTTGTTTAGGAGTTTTTGTGTGTTTCTTTTCCCATAGACCATGCTTTCCTTTAGTATCTGGCCTTTCTGAAAACTGCTTTTCCAGAAAAACCTAGTGGCAGTCAAAATGCTCTTCTTTCTACAGAGTGACGGAGGAGTTCAAGCCTCCATTGGTCTCAAAGAAATGTAAACAACTGAGAGACACCCAAGTCTCTATTGGCAGCAATCTTACTGATTTAGCTATAGAAAAGGTTAGTTACATGAAAGACATTACAAGGAAGAACAAATCATGGACTCCATATTCAGGCTGTACCACTCCTTATTGAATCTGTGATAACAGTTGATGTGACTCATAAGTATGAGGTTTACTTTTTATAAAACTGAATCACGAAGTCATTAGCATATGATGCTTTACATCAACTGTCTCTGTACAAAAACCATGGAGAAGGTGCATCCTTGGACAACATATTCTAGTATGTCATGTCCAGATA